CAGGCCGGCACCGGCTAGGGCGGTGGTGCGGGTCCCGACTTCGCCAAGGCACGGAGCGCTCAAAAATGCCGTGTTGCTACTTTCTGCTACGATAGAAAACATTTGGGGCTGAATCTAAGGAAGAACGTTATGGACCATGATGGTTTGACGTGAAATGCCCCTTCAGTCTTGTTTCTTATGTTCCTCCTTTCAACAGTTCGTTCTTTTTTTCAGGTTTCAAGATCACCCGCCCGCAGATTGGGACCCTAAAATAGTGAAGGAAGTTCAAGCAGAGCAGCAAAAGTATTGTGATCAACTCCTGGTATCGACTAATTATAGGGTCAAACTCTCGTGTCTTTGTACAGACAAGAATTCTCTCTTTGAGAATAGGGAAATGATAACCTTGTTACGAGAAAGGATTGAGATCTTGTTTAGGAAATGGCATGGTAAAAACGAAACAAAGAAGATTAACGAAGTACTTCAATGTTTGGAGAAGGACGAGCATTTCGCAAACGATAGCGTTGATATTGGTATGATCGTAATAAGTGTGATAACCGGCAATGGCAGGTTGCAAGTGCCCGTATTCCGCGTCAATGTACCCATTAAAGATCCCAGTGGAGAGGTTATTCTGAAGTACTTCTTTGTTGATCTGTGTGGACGCCGCTACAAGGGTTTTGACGACTTTCTCTCTAATAACAATTTGCCTAAAGGGAAGATTTGCTGTCCTAAACGAGGCATCTACTGTCCGAAAGGAGGTAATGTAATGCTTCTATATGGTACCACTCCAGAGAGCCCGTTAGAGGGACTCGATTGTTTCGTAGGCGCACTCAGCTTGTGCGCGTTGCCATTCCTACTAGTTAGTGCTCCTGTTGCAGGTGGCATTTTGGGGACCTGCGTAGCTTACTCAGGTTTTCGTGCAGCTGGCGAGCTAGTAGACAGAATGAATCATGATCAGATCCTCATATGTACGGAGGCTCTCCCAATATGGCTTCGTATTGGTTTCGCTGGTTTCGCGTTTGTAGGCTGTGGAATGTTGATTTGGGAATCGTTAGAGGCACTTGGTTTCGTCAATTCGATTAGAGTGGCTCTTTCTTCTGTGATTTCTACTCTCATGGTCGAATTGCCTAAATTCTTCTTGAAAGTGACGAACATGAGCCTACCAGAAATGTTTGAGGCGGTGATCAAGATGTGTAAAGCTTGGTTATCTCTCAAGAAACGTTGTTCAGTGGAGATGCTTGAAGCGCTTGCTCACAAAGATGAACCCTACGTTTTCAGCAAGATCGATTCTACTTTGGGGCAGAAATTTGAGTCCTCAAAAGAAATGCTTTCAGAATTAGAGCGCATGTTGAGTAACTTCCCAAAATGTGGCCCTGCATTGTACAAAATTTTCAGAGCAGTCCTTTTTTATTATGAAAGTGCTGACAAGAATGCAGGTGAAGCAAAGAAATACTTGGAAGAGACGGTGGGGTACCTTAGACTCGCTTTTGCTGCTGAACGACGTACTTTCCCTTCTCTGACAGAGCCAGCAATAATATGTAATATTGCGAACGATCCAAGCATTTTTTCTCAGCTCCTTGTTGGTTTTCAAATTAAGACAAATTATTATCATTTACGTTGTGGTCATGCTAATGCAGTTGGCACTGGTGAAATTTCCCAAGGCAGCTACTTTTCTTTTTTGAAAAATTACATGGTAAAAGAGAAAGGGTGGGTTGGGAAATTTGATTATAAAGTGATGAATAACGGTCCTGGATGTTTTTGGGTTGACGGTGTTGGCGTTTTGGAAATAACAGTACAGGGAGAGATGGTCTCAGTCAAACATTCCACAACCAAAAAGCAAACTAATAACGTCCGTGTTTAGTGATATCAGCCCTAATATCGACGTAAATCGTCAGTGGCCTTAAATCAGTGTCCACTTTATAGTTAAATTTCGGGTTAGAGCAGTAATTTTACATGCGCGACAATTTGAGGATATTCGCTGATAAAACTACCTATAAAATGATGTCAGATTGTATATGCCACCCCATGCCACCCCTGTTGGGAGTTGCGCGAACCGGAATCAAACGTGGCTGTAAACTGGAGATATGTTGTGCAAATTTCCGCGATACTCAGTTGTCCGTCCGTAGACATTCCGTCTCCATCCATTGTATGTCGTGCCGTGGCTCACCTGGTGCTGAGTCTACAAAATGTATGTTGATTATGAATAAAACACAGTCTTTGTTCATCAACCTAATCTCCTTTATTTTCCTCAACACTCCAACAAGACCCAGCGCACACACACTGACAATCTTACAAACTGTTTTAGGCCTTACAAACAAAATCAGCTTATTTATTGGCTGAGCGAAAGCGAAGCCCGTTTCTCGGTCGGGGTTGTAACACATTTTCTGTTTGCCCGTCCGTCTGATCCAAACGTCAATTCGTTGGAATATGTATTAATAGTTAATGTTAACAGACTCAGTTTAGGGCAGGCTGATCTGAACTACTTTTACGGAGATTAATTATTGGCAAATCCAGTGAATTGTCTCATAGAATCCAATGCTCAGATCACTTGTTGCCTAAGGAGGGACCCTGGTGGAAAAATGGCCAAAAATAGTATTTTTATAGTTCAAAGGCTTCAGATTAAAAAGGTTTAACAACTTTAAGCTGAGTGGGTAGTTCCTTCGGCCAGTTGTTGTTGGCTTATACACTCAACTTTACTGCTCTAAGCAGTCGACAAAACATTTTGCCAAAGAAAGACACATACATGATTTGCATCGACTATTCTTTGATGACTTGTTGACAAATTTTGAAGTGGATTTCTTAACATGAGCCCTATGTTTGTCTACAAAAACTAAAAAGTTTGGAAAAAAGGCAAAAAATTGAAATGTTTAAATGAAACTTTGTATCTCAGGACAGAAATTGAATTTGAAAACTCCGTCACTAAAATATCTTCTACACATCTTGAGGACAACCCAAAATTTTTTTCAACATTTTCCGTCCCAGTGAAAGACTCAGGAAGTACGAGAGTCCCCCCTTAAGGCCATAATTTTAATGCCGTAAATTGTTTGTATCTAAAAGGGAAATTCGACATATTATTGTTATAGGCTACAGTGACTGGGCACTGGCGATAGAGTGAATAAGAGGCTGAGAGTGAACTCTCACGACGGCCGCTCGACAGCACCTTCTTGGGCATGGTATTTTCTTGTAAGGAAATGGATTACCGCCAAGTGAACCTCTTTACTTTCACCCGAACCTGGGACATTTATTTGAAAATACAGCACTTTCTGCAGCGAATGGAATGAGTAATCCCATTTAAGAAAAGACACTTTGTGGTGTGACCCCCTCCGTCGTCCTGATGTTTTGTGG